ATGGCTCTATCTATCTATCTATCTATCTATCGATCTATCTATCTATCTATCTATCTATCTATCTCCCTATATTCATTTCTTTATTATAGATGTGTATATTTTCATTTCTATATTATTCATTTAAATGCCGTGCCTGTAACCAAATAAAAACCAGTAATTCCCTTGATTGAAAGATTTATAATATCTATTTCTATAATATTGATTTTCTTTATTTATACACACAGAGATATAATGCACAACAGATATTAAAATACATTACCATCTATCCGTATATTTTCATATTGAATATTAACCAGCTTGTCTAGATATAGATAATTTGTATTTATTTCTTTTTTATGGCTATATATCTCTCTCTCTATCTATCTATCTATCTATCTCCCTATCTATCTCTTTCTCTATCTATATATCTCCCAATCTATCACCCTATATACATTTCTTTATTATAGATGTGTATATTTTCATTTCTATATTATTCATTTAAATGCCATTTAACTCTTTTTAATATCTATTTCCATCATATTGATCTTCTTTATTTATACACATAGATATAATACATAACAGATATTAAAATATATTATATTAGCATCTATCCATATAGTTTTTATACTGATTATTAATCTACTTGTCTCGATTTGGATTACTTGTACTTATTTCTTTTTATCTCTTTCTCTATATATATAGATCTATTGAGCTTCCCTATATTTATTTATGTATACATTTATTTCTCTTTTTAATAATCTGCTTTTTGAAATTTGCATTTCTTTCTCTTGGAAACTCTCCCAATTCTTTCAGCTAACAGGTCAGAATGACAAAAATATAAATCCCTACTCAACCTCGAGTGCAGAACGCGCTCGTCTCTATGGACCTTAGGCACAGAAATTTCTCTCGGTGCATTTTAATACCTCAGGGATGCACACATGTGTTTTATACACTCCCATTTTACAGGGAAGTAAGAGGTGGAAAGACAAAACCCACTTTCTTAACCCTAAGCCGTTCCTGACATAACAAAACCCTAACGACGGAGTGCACAGAGAGGGGGTTCCTTTCCAAGGGGATTTGGAGAGGTCAATTCCTGTCCCTTGCCAATACCTACCGTAAAAACCAGAACAACTCCACAGGTTTTTGGATTCTGCACCCAGCCCTCCCAGGGAATTTCCTGGCAGCTCGGGGTCCCCTCTGGGCAAGGGTACCCAGCACCAGCCCTCCCCATTCCCCGCTCACCTTGCTACTCCAGCGCAGTGTGTCCCTCCCTCTGGCGGGGACCTCGGCGTGCCCCAAGGGACACGGGAGCCCCCCAGTCTCCATCCCATCCCCCTCAGCCTTTGCTCCTCACCCCCAAAGAAGGCAGAGAACAACTCCAACTGCCGGGGACAGCAGCACCTTGCTTTATTGGAAGCCTTTCTAGGTCCGGACTACAGGGCTGGGGTGATGGTGTTGCCTTCTGCATGCCTTTCCTTTGTGGACGCAAAGCCCTGAAGCAACCGGGATCCTCCTGAGAGGGCCACTCCATTCCAGCAGCAGTGGAATGGTGGTGGTTGTGTTTTTCTGGTTCACATTTGGTGCTTTGCATTTATTTTTAGGTAACTATGGTGGTTCATGTGTATTTCGGGTTCGATATGGTGGTCTGCAGATGCATTTTGGGTTGAATATGGTGATGTGCATTTATTTGTGGTTAAAAATGGTTATGCTCATGCATTTCTGGCCAAACGCGGTGCTGTACATTTGTGTGGTTTCCGGATGCTGTGCCACACGTGTTTTGGTGGGCCTGGGTGGTGTGGTTTATTTGGAGGGCTGTGTGGGTTGGTTAGTGGATGGTACAGCAGTGTGCATGTGCTGATGCGGTGTGGTGGATTTACATGTCTGCCGTGATGTATGTACTATTTATTGGAAATATTGGCAATATGATTTTGGTGAACATGGAGGGGTGTTGCTGTCATAGGTGACCTTGCAGTAGGGGGTGAAGAAGCATACATAACATATAAGCATATATAACATCTATACATATCTTATTCATATTGAATATTAATCTACATGTCTAAGTTTATATTACGTATATTGCTTTTTTATATCGATCTCTTAATGTATTTATTATAGATTCGTACATTTTAATTTCTATATTATTTATTTAAAAGCTCTACCTCTAACCAAATAAACACCAAACAGCCCCTTTACCTGAAATGGTAATCAAATATTTTTTCAATGTCTATTTTTATCAAATTTATATTTATATACTACATTGATATATGTATAATGCACAATATTTTTCCTGGTTTAGGGTAAATTTGGGAGAAAAGTTTTGAAGGGGGTTTTTAATAAAGAAAATTTAAGAGTTTTTTTTATTTTGTTTAATTTGTTTGGGAAAAGATTTCTTTGGGGGAAAATTGAAAAAAAATGTTTATTTAATGAGTAAAGTATTTATAATTATAAACAAATGACTAATAAATAATAAAATTAGTTGATGTTTGAAGAGATGGTCAATTTAGAAAGTTCTTGTTGGTAGGTGTAGTTTTGTTTCTTTAGTCATATATCAGTTTGTTTGGTGTTGCAAAGTGTTGAGGCCCAGACCCCCGAGGGCTGGATGTGTGAGTTTTTGGTGTTTGCGTTTTTCATTTAGAGTACATTTGAATACAGTTAAAAGAAAGAAAAAATATATATAGTTTGGAGAATTTTTTTCTTTTAGTTTGTTAAAAATTAATTCAAAGTAAGGGAGACTTTTGTTTTGTTGTAGGTAATATCGTTTGGAGAAAGATGTGGGTGAATGAGTGTTGTTTTTGAAAATAACTTGTGTGGGGTGTTTTGTTTCTTTTGGAAATTAGTTATATATATAGACAGATAAGAGTAGAGATATTGAGTAAAAAGTGAGGCTTATATGTATTTTTTATTTAACGCTTAGACTTTTTTTGAGGTACATATTTTTTGAGGTATATATTGTGTTACTTTTTCATATTATTTATGATGTGTCATTTGGTTTTTGAGTTAAGACAATTTTATGGAGTTTTTTCTATTTAACCTGGAATTGATTTTAATTGCTTTTTTAAATACATTTTTTTATTTGTTACTGGGATTTTGGTTTTGTTAATGATATGTCAGGGTTTAGATTGGGTAGGGTTAGTTTGCTTGGTGGAGTTTGGGGTGTTAATGAATTAGGTGGCTTTTGCTAAATGTTTTTTAATATTTGAAAGACTTTTTTATTTATTGTTTTTAAGATGGTTTTTAATAGTTTTTTGGTTTAGTTTTTGTTTTGTACTTGGTGCATGGTAGGGGATATGGTATATTTACTGAATATTATGTTTTTTAGTTGAGGTGTTGATAAGGTTGTTTTTGAAATGAGTTTTATGGTTTGATTTAATTTTTTAGGGGCATTATGTTTTTAAAGGGCTTGTTTTTTAAGGTTAAGGATGATGTTTTGAGTAGCAGTGTGAGGTATAGGGTAGGTTTTTATTTATTTATTGATGTATTTTTATTATTGTGAGTATGTAGTGCTTATGTATGTTTGGGGTACAGTAATGTAGCTAATTTGTTAGGTTTCTTATATTTCTATTTGGATTATTGTTTCTTAGAGGGGGTTCATTTGTTTGATTGTAGTATGTTTTAAACTTATGGATAACGTGAAAAGTATTATTTATGGTTAAATTTATTTTTTGGTTTTGTGTTTATTTGGAGATAGTATTTTTATTTTGATGATTCAAGGTATTATGAGATTATTGAGTTAAAACCAAATTGTTCCTGTATGGTTAATTACAGTTTATTTTCGATCTTTTTTTTTTGTAGTTGCATGTACCTGTTTATTTGGTGCTTTTTATTAGTTGTATTTTTGGGGATATGAATATTTATATGATGGATTTTTAAAGGTAGGTCGTTTTTGTAGTGATTTCTTATTTTTTAGTAGTTTAATTTTTTTATTGTTAATGAGGTCTTTATTTTTATACAGCATTGATTATTATTTATGAATTAGAAAGTAGCAATTTGGTTAGGTTGTTTTTAGTAATGCTGAGGGCTCATTGAATGGTTTTCAGTTTAGTAAGTTGTTGAGGTTTTTTTAAGCAGATTGGGTTGTGTTAGGTTTTATATAGCTTTTTGTGATTTGTTTTACTTTTATGATGTGGTATGAATTATTAGTAAAAAGAGTGTAGTGGGGTTTTTTTGCTCCTCCTCTAATAAACAGGGTATAATTACTAATACACTTTTAAAACATGTTACTGGGATTGGGATGTAGGGTAGGCCAAAGAAAAAATAAACTAAAGCTATTTGGTACAAATTTCAGTACTTTTATAAAGCTTTTATCCATCATTATTACTGAGCTTAGCTTAGCAGCTATTTTAATCTGTGCTCTTTTACTGTGAAAGTTATGTAGTAGGGACACTATTGGAGTTATTTTTGGATAAGAAAATAAACATAGGGACAAGAAAGGCATTAAAACCTCAAAAAAAGCTCAGAGACTAGAACAACATAAAGGCCTCCACCCTGAGAGACATGAACTTAAGTAACACCATTACAAAGTCCTTTATCCCAGCACACAGTAAGCACCAATACAACAAAATCAGCATAGGTTTTCCTTACTCTTCTGAACCCCACATTGGGCAGCAAATAATAAAATGCTTAGACAGCTAAGACAAAACTCAAAGCGCTGCAGGATAACTTCACAAATGCAGACATCTACTGTCAACCTAGGAAAAGCATGTAGATTCCAAAGTAAAACCTATGTCACAAATTTCAAATTACAGGGGCCTGGGACTTGGCCTTTTACACCTACAGCCAGGCTGGGCAGCAGGGCAGAGCAGCTCCGGGACAACTACACCCAGACACCCGTGACACACCAGACACCCGACGAGGGGACACAATGGGGAGACAAAACTCTGGGCCACAAGAACGGCGGCGAGGACTGAGAGAATGCGGAACGAGATGAGCCGGGTGAGAATGAAGGCGAGCTGATGAAGCTCACAGAACCCGGGAGGAAGAAGATGCTGACGGAATGACAAACTCCAGGAACCGCCAAGACGGAGGCCCAAGAATCTTACGGCCGCAATCCTCTACCTATCTTTGCGTTTCTTCAAGTCCTAAGCCGCAACAATGGATCCTCGCGGCGCACGGCTGTTGACACAGCTCGGAAGAAGACGTCTAAAAGACATCCGATCGGATGCTTTTCGAAACAGATGCGATTCCAAGGCCTCTGAGAGCAGCCGAGCCGAGGAGCCCAGAGATCGCAGATGCTATAAGTGACGCTGGGGTTTCTGGTAAGCCCCCAGAAGAGATAGGGCAAGGCACGTACAACAACAAGAGGCACAAAAGACACAGAAGGCACGACGGACAAGTGACACGCCACGCCCCGAGGCTGCTCTGTCCTGCACACCTCAGCACTGTGAACAAAAGTGAGGCTCTCCCACCGTGCGGCCTAAGGGGCCACAGCCTGGACCTCCCCGTCCCCAAAGCTGACTCAACTATCCCAGGTCACAAGTCCCGACCCGGCACCCCGCTTTCATCCCCTCTGCGGGTGGTAGCCTTTGACTCAGCTCTCGGATGCCCGCTGGAGAGGATCCACACGGAGCGCCAAGGAAGGCCGCCTGGCTATCCGGGAAGTTCCTGCCATCGCCAGGCTGTCGTCTCTCCGTCAGCTACCAAAAATAAAACAGAAAATCAGCAGCTGATCTTTGCAGGGCGTCGGCCAAAACCTGACAATTCCGCTACTCACGGTCTCCTGCGAACGGCCGTGACCTGAGGCCGCACGATACGGCCACGCCGGGACCAGGCAGCGTCGTCGCAGGGCGCGCCTGAGTTAAGAGAAGAAAAAGTGATGTGGCGTTGCTGAGACTTGAACAGGCCCTCGCTCCTCCTCCCGACATCCCCAACTCACGGGAAGCCCTCGGCCCCTTCCTGAAGGCCAGCCACACGGCCCCTTTACGTGGAAAAGGCTCCGTCACGCGGTCCCTGTGACGCTTCCGCAGGGCTCACGGGAGCGGCGAAGCAGGCGTGCCGGCCGGCTGGCGACGGGGTCTCGACGAAACGCGACTGGACCGCCTAAAGCACGCAAACAAGGAGGGACGCTTGGCGTCGCACCTGAAACTGAGAGCCCAGCGATAACAACAGCCTCCCTCCACCGGTCAACGCTCACCTTGCCCACTTCACCTTGACTGCTGCTAGATGGCTCTATTTCCTAAAAATAAAGACAAAGAGGAGACCTGTAACACAGGGACCGGTTCCAGTTGCCCTGCAAAGACAAACACTGACTTACCTTCTCGGGGAAACCCCCTTACCCTGGATGGGGCGCTCTGCCACCGATTTCATCCGTCCGCATCTGAAAGAGAGCTGAGACAAAAGTCAAAGCGCTGCAGGGTAACTTCACAGCTCCGGACATCTTGTGTTGATCTAGGGATATGTTCTAGACCCCAACTACACCCTACATCACAAATTTCAAATTACAGGGGCCTGGGACTTGGCCTTTTACACCTACAGCCAGGCTGGGCAGCAGGGCAGAGCAGCTCCGGGACAACTACACCCAGACACCCGTGACACACCAGACACCCGACGAGGGGACACAATGGGGAGACAAAACTCTGGGCCACAAGAACGGCGGCGAGGACTGAGAGAATGCGGAACGAGATGAGCCGGGTGAGAATGAAGGCGAGCTGATGAAGCTCACAGAACCCGGGAGGAAGAAGATGCTGACGGAATGACAAACTCCAGGAACCGCCAAGACGGAGGCCCAAGAATCTTACGGCCGCAATCCTCTACCTATCTTTGCGTTTCTTCAAGTCCTAAGCCGCAACAATGGATCCTCGCGGCGCACGGCTGTTGACACAGCTCGGAAGAAGACGTCTAAAAGACATCCGATCGGATGCTTTTCGAAACAGATGCGATTCCAAGGCCTCTGAGAGCAGCCGAGCCGAGGAGCCCAGAGATCGCAGATGCTATAAGTGACGCTGGGGTTTCTGGTAAGCCCCCAGAAGAGATAGGGCAAGGCACGTACAACACAAGAGGCACAAAAGACACAGAAGTCACGACGGACAAGTGACACGCCACGCCCCGAGGCTGCTCTGTCCTGCACACCTCAGCACTGTGAACAAAAGTGAGGCTCTCCCACCGTGCGGCCTAAGGGGCCACAGCCTGGACCTCCCCGTCCCCAAAGCTGACTCAACTATCCCAGGTCACAAGTCCCGACCCGGCACCCCGCTTTCATCCCCTCTGCGGGTCGTAGCCTTTGACTCAGCTCTCGGATGCTGGGTGGGGTGGATCCACATGGGGTGTGAAGGAAGGCCTCCTCGCCATCTGGGAAGCTCCTGCCATTGCCAGGATGTGGACTCCTGGTCAGCTACAACCAAGAAGACCAAATATCAATGCAGGAGCTTAGTGCCACATCTGTGAAAACCCAGCACTTACCTTCTCTAGAGAATGCCCAGGTTCATGGGCTGCACACTTCACCCCACAGGGAGACAGAGGCTTGCTTCACAGCAGTATTGGCTGACAGCCAAACGACCACCACCTCAAGGAGGGGAGGAAGACTCTCCAGTCAGTGAGGGCCAGGGAGCCCAGGGTACCCCAAGGATAGAAACCCCAGCTTATATGACAGCAGTAGGCCCAAGCACTCACTATCGCTTCCTGGCTGGCCCTAGCACCAGGGAACTGCCTGCACCTCTCGGGGGTTCTGGCACTCTGCTGCTTTACGGTTCCTGCCTGCAGCTGTCTCAAGGAAACGGGAGCGCTGTTAGGGCTGCTGTTTAGGGTTTGAATAGTCCTGTACTCTACCTTATATCCCAACCTATACCCCTTTTATTTTCTCTGTTTGTCTCCAGCCCTCGAGCCCTTGACCTCTGAAGCCCTCCCTCAGCCTCTCCGTGTCACTGCCAAGCTGCCCCGCTGAACCCTACAAACTTACAACCCTACGCTTGCAACCGGGGATGCTCCTTATCCATAGGCCCCAAGAGATGTCCCTTAGCCCGGACTAGGCAATCCACAGTTGCTCCCTACCCTACCTAAGTTTGGCCCTGAGACAGGGCAGAGGCTGACAGAGCGGAACTCTTTGCGGAGGCCAGGCACGAAGCCTTACCAACCGCCGCCTCGAGGAGGGGTGGGAGCAATCCCCGGCTGCGGAGGGACAGAGAGCCCAGGGTGGGGCGGGGCGGGAAACCCCCTGTTTCCCCAACCCTGCGGATCGTCCCCCCACTATCTCTTCCTGGCTGGCCCTAGCACCAGGGAACTGCCTGCACCTCTCGTGGGTTCTGGCACTCTGCTTCTTTAGGGTTCCTGCCTGCAGCTGCCTCAGGGAAATGAGAGCACTGTTAGGGCTGCGGTACACCTGAACTCCACCTTACCTATAACCCTTCTTTTCACTGTTTGCTCAGCCTTTTTTTCTTGGAATTCTTTTGACAGATTGAGGGCACCAGGGAGGGACTGCCACGATGAAATCAAAAGGGAAAAGGAGAAAGATCACCCCTGCAAATCCACACTGGCTCAGCTGTTCAGGTGCTGCTTCCTGGCAAAAAGCTTTGTCCATCACCACTTCCTTTAAGCAGTGCTCCAAGTCCAAGCGCATCCAGGTGCTCCCCCAGACCCCATGAGATGCTCTCACCGTCACTCCATCAGATGCCACTGGGAGCCCACCAGAAACTCCTCTCCTCCAGCAGTTCCATGCCAACGTTGTTTTGCCCCTCGTATTTGGCCCTGTAATAACGGCAAAATTGTTGCCTTCTGTCAGGTACGTGTTGTTAGATCTGTCAGGTACGTGTTGTTAGACACAGGTTTTTCCATGGCCATCTTTTCAAGAATGAGGTGCCATCCCTGCTTGATTGCTAAATTATCGGTAAATTCTGGAAAACCTAAATAAGAAAAAAAATCTAAGACACTGACGAGTTAATATGGGAACCTTTACATCACTAAACTAGTATGTCTTGAAATAAAGTGAATTCTTCCATGCCTACTACAAAAATCATATTCCTAAAAATAAAATAACCAAGAAACAAACAGCATCAAATTCCCACCAATGTGGGAATCACAATACCTCCACCAACCAAGGGAAAAAAATCTTAACCCCCTCAAAAAGACTCAACACTGAAACACAACTCATCCTAACATTTCAACTAACAATACTAAAATAAATTTTCGTAACAAATATTCCCTCTATCCACACCACCAATACTACATAAAACAAATAAAGTACTCTCATCACAGCACCCCCAAATCAAAAACCTAAATTGCCCTAAAATCTTTAAAATAATCACAAATTAACCCCAAAATAAAAACTTTAATCTCACTAACAAAAAACCCCAAAACAGGCAACACAAACAAAACCAACACCGTACAACCAACTACCAGCAAAAACAGATGCTATGCTTTCACTAACAGTTCTTATCACATCAGCAAAGTTAGACATAAATAAAAAACAATCCTATTGAACTCCACACAACAAATCACACCAACTATTAAAAAATAATCAGACCAACTCGCTAAACTCAAAACCATTCAACTAACCCTAAACATCAGCAGAAAAAAGCCCCAAAGCCCTACCTTTATGCTAATACCTAAATACTCACCAATACTCTATAAAAAAATTTAATAGCTCATTAAAAACAAAAAAACCAATCTAAACTACTAAAAAATTAAAAAGCATCACCCCCAAAAATATACCTATAAAAATCCACCATATAAATGCCTGCCCCCAGAAATGAAACTAAGAAACACAACAGAAAGAAATCCAAACTTATCATCACCACCTAAACTAGAAAACACAACATTAAATAAATAGAACATATACATTATTATACACCAACTACAAACAAAATAAAATGATACAATCAATTACTAAGTCACCTTAAAACCAGTCAATAAAAAACTTTCAAAAATTGAAAACTGCATCTAACAAAAGCCACCTAATTAACACCCAAAACTGAGCTAACCAAACAAACCCTACCCAATCTGAACCCCAACATACAATAAACAAAACCCAGTAATACATATCAAAATCTATTTTAATTGATTCTACCTAAAATACAAACCCATTCATAGAATCATCTTTATTCAAAAAATAAATTTCACATAGTATACAACACAAATCAAACAACACACTGTGTACCACCAAAAAAATCTAATCTTGAATAAAAATCACATATAAATATCTCTGCTTACTAAATATTACTACCACTATTTATATTTACCTGTATCTGTATAAAATCATATTTAAATTTAATAAACATTAATTTGACCTCTAAGCCAAATATATACAATAAAAAATAAAATGTCCTTAAATTACATTATATTATATCCTCATCATCCGCTTTATGCCCAAACATAAATTCTGTAACTTCAAAACTAAAAAAGAAAAAATTCTTTGAACATACAATCTGTATACAATACTAATACAGCCTCACTCAAATTGTCTCTCAACTCTACTGTCTAGCACAACAAAAAATGCATTTTTTACTTTTTCAAACTAATTTCTCATTTATTAGTGAATACAAAATAATTACCAGAACCATAACAACTACTTCTAAAACTATTCAACTTTACTCCAATCCAAAAACCCAAGCTACCACCAAAACACCCCACGGCTCAAAAAGATCAACGCCACAGCCCAATTCCAAAAACATCCAAACCACATGTGCAGAAAAACCTTCTAAAGCTCCTGCTCTTTTTTCCACAACAAAGAAATTATCTAACATTATTCATCCTTTTTTTCCTCTTACCTATGCCCTACTTATTAAAATAAACATTTTTTTTCACTTTTCCTCAAAAAAAAATTCCTTTAAAATCAATTAAAAAACAGACTGAAACCTGACTCCTATTAAGAAATACATTCATTTTAAAACGTTTTTGTCCCCGTTTGTCTCAAATCTTTCCAAAGTTTGGATCCTGTTCCAGTGCACCTGAACCAAATCAACCTGCTCTGGCTCTGGAAACATCAGCAACACCAAACCCAGAGCACGAAGCACCTCGCTGTCCCTACCCTGCTGTCCCCCGGCCCTGCTCTCTCGCATCCTACGCTGCAGAGCGCTGGGAGCCAGGTTCAGCCCTGAGAATTGTCACAACCATTCCCTCAGACATTCCAGCTTCCACGGGGATATTGAGGGGACCCCCTGCTTTCCATTCTCCAGTACAGCACCAAGACAAAGCTCTCACTCGGCCCGCGTCTCCAGAAAATCGTGTGCAAGGCTTAAATAAACCCCGAGGCTTGAGAAATACAGTCTGCCCAAAAAGCCCAGCTCTGCATCCAGGGGAAATGAACATCACAAACAGATTCACACACCCCAGATGCACGGGACGCTGCCAGCTCGGACCTGCAGTTAACTCGGCAATGGAAAAACCTGAGCTCGAAGCCCTCCTGCGAGGGTGCAAAAGGTATTGGACACAGTTTCTAGAAGGCGCCACATCGTTATTTAAAGGCGCAGCTCGGCTAAAGAGCAATATCGACAAAGCCCCGAGACAAAAAGCCCGGCAGGTCGGGCTTTTCCCCCTCCCCTCCTCCCAGCGGCTTTTGCCAGCGCACTCTGAAGCTGACAAGCCACAAGTGTCCCCCAGCGCCCCCGCCGGGACTCGCTCCCGGGCTGGTGCTGCTCCAGGTGCAGGGGGACCAGGGAAACCACGCCAGCCCCAGCAGCGGCGGCACCCG